GAAGCCCGTAGAGGCTTCATGGACCAGAGCCCTGATCCCGTATGGCAAGCAGTTTTTATGCACAATTACAGAGGGAGGGGAAAGAACTTTAAACTTGATTTTACATGATTGGGTTATTTCTCCTAATGGGTACAGGAACACTTGGTATTGGTGGGTGCCTTTCGTGGGCTGTAACCTGACTGCCTGTGATTGACAGAAACCCACTTAACGGGCAGAGTGGAATGTCAGATAAATTAGGTTTATATGGTCACTGCATATAAAGTAATTCGAGCAAGCAGACAGGAGGTTACGTTAGCCTTTAAGTTCGCTGATCCACTCCAGGAATGCTTAGGAGGCTTGTTTGCTTAACATTTACATAACATAACATGGTCATTATGGGACAACAAAAACCAAACTTAACAAAGTTTTAAATATGAATACTGCAAACATATACAGTGAATGTGGGGTAGAAATTCATATAATACTAGTTCTGGAAATTTATAAAATATCGCAAACGTCTTATTGCAAGGCGGTTTTTGTAAAGGTCTTTGATTTCCTCAGGTTTACATAGCCACTGCGTGTAAATTAACACTGGGATGAAAGCCAGTGATAAAGCCCACCTAGAGAGCAACTAGCGCCTCAGAGTCTACTGCAATTGCAAAGGAATGTCTGAAAGGGGCTTATCGCTTTAACATTTACATCCTGTTGTAAAAGCAGAAGTTAGCATGGCAATCGGGACTGACAATGCTTAACCAAGAGCTCTAAATACAAACACTACTTAAGCCATTATACAATCAGTCACTACCTGCACCCGACATATGCCTAATTCTACGGGGTCTGAGGTAGGATTTAAAGTACTAAGATTTCATAAAGTACAATGAACATGAGGTAGGAATACACAAATTATATAGTAAACATGAGGTAGGGATATATGAAATATAGTGAACTAAACACTACTTTTACAGCAAGTATGGTTTTTTAAGTTTCTTGGTTTCTTGGGTCTCTCAATAGCATGCTCTTAACCTAAGTCTATTATTGTCCTCTCACTACCATGTTTGACCTTTATCTATTTATTTTTATTAGAGTCAGGGTCTTGCTATGTTGTTTAGGCTGTTCTCAAATTCCTGGGCTCAGGTAGTCCTCTCGCTTCAGCCTCCCAAAGTGCTGGGATTTTAGGCATGAGCCATCACATCTGGCCTTGTGTGGGTGTTTTTGGTTGTCATAACAACAGGGATGGTACAGAAAAGGAAAGGGCAAGACAGACCCACACAGTAAATATTGTCCCACATCCTGCACAATGTTTGACTGTTCAGCTAGACATTCATAAAAGTGAAAAGCGTGCCGGGCTCGGTGGCTCAGCCTGTAATCCCGGGCCTTCGGGAGGCTGAGGTGAGTGGATTGCCTGAGCCTGCGGATTCGATACACACCTGGGCAGCGAGACCTCATTTCTACAATAAAAAAAAAAAAAAATCAGCTGGGCATGGTAGCTCAAGCCTATAATTCCAGCTACTCGGAAGGCTGAGGCTGAAGGATCGCCGGAGCCCAGCAGGCGAGGTTGCGGTGGCCAGGAGCGGCCACTGCACTCCAGTCTGGGCGACAGAGTGAGACTCTAACTCAAAAAAAAAAAAAGTGAAAAGTGTATTTACAACTACTTGAGCTTAGAACCTAAGCCTATGCCATGTCATGATATGAAAAAAAATTTTTTTTGAGTTGGAGTCTCACTCTGTCACCCAAGCTAGAGTACAGTGGTACACTCACAGCCTGTTGGGCTCTGGCGATCCTTCCACCTCAGCCTTCCAAGTGGCCAGAGCTACAGGCGTGTGCTACCACACCTGGCTAATTTTTTATTTTTTCAGTATAGAGACGAGGTCTCGCTTAGTTGCCCTTTCTGGTCTCGAACCCACAGGCTCAGGCAATCCACTCACCTCAGCCTCCCAAAGTGCTGGGATGACAGGTACGCACCTGAGTTACCAAGCCTGGCCAATACAAGAATTATTTTGTTACTACACTCAGTGATAAAGCCCACCACTTTCTAAGAATACCATATCTCCTAATTTTTCCCACCTTAATTTATCTTGGTGTGCTATCTTTGCTTAATTTAACATTACTGGACCAGGCACAATGGCTCATGCCTGTAATCCCAACAAAGTGAGACCTTGTCTCTATAAGAAATAAAAATAAAACCGGGCTCGGTGGTTCAGCCTGTAACCCCGCGCTTTGGGAGGCCGAGGTGAGTGGATTGCCTGAGCCCGCGGGTTCGAGCCCCACCTGGGCAACTTGGTGAGCCCTCATCTCTACAATAAACCAAAAAATTAGCCAGGCATGGTAGCGCGCGCCTGTAGTTCCAACTACTCAGAAGGCTGAGGCAGAAGGATCACCAGAGCCCAGCAGGTCGAGGCAGTGGTGGCTGGGAGCGGCCACTGCACTCCAGTCGGAGACAGAGTGAAACTCCAACTCAAAAAACAAAAGAAAGAAAGAAAAATAACTAGCTGAGTGTGGTGGCACATGCCTGTAGGCTCAGCTACTCGGGGGAGCGGAGGCAGAAGGATCACCTGAGCCCAGGAGGTCGAAGCTGCTGTGAGCTGTGATCATGCCACTGCACTCCAGCATGGGCAACAGAGTGAGACTCCAACTCAAAAAAAAAAAAAAATTAAATTATTTTCCTCTTTCTCTTATCATCGGGTTTGTTAGTCATCCTAACTTTGTTTTTAGTCAAGTGTTCTTCTGTCTTCACTTTCATTTCCTGGGTGTTAAAAAATTTATAAACCACCCAAATCTGGAAAACAAAGGCTGACTTAAATTCTGGTTCAGGTCAGAGAGAAAAACAAGCAGAAGTGCAGCTTCTTGTTAAACAGAGGCTGACACTGGGTTGCTGCAGGGTGTGGGGGAAGAAAAATGGAGTTTAGGTAGCAAGGAGAGGGAGATGTTTCGACAGATTCACAGCAGAGTAGAGGTGTGTATACAGAATTAACATCTGGCCTGGGTTGAGAAGGTCTGACTTGGAAACCAGAGTTAAAAATAAATAAATAAATAATACATAAATAAAAGCCAGGCTCGGTGGCTCACGCCTATAATCTTAGCACTTTGGGAGGCTGAGGTGAGAGGATTGCCTGAGCCCACAGGTTCGAGACCAGCCTGGGCAACTTGGCAAGATATCATCTCGACAACAAATAAATAAATAATTAGTTCAACGTGGTGGTGCATACCTGTAGTTCCAGCTACTTGGAAGACTGAGGCAAAAGGATCACCTGAGCATAGCAGGTCAAGGCTGCGGTGGCCGTGAGTGTGCCACTGCACTCCAGCCTGGGCAACAGAGTAAAAAAAAAAAGTGGAATGTTTTGCTGGCCTCCCTCTCTGTCCCGAGACAGCAGGGCAGATAAAACATGCATGAACAACTAGGTCAGAGTGACTCATCCAGTTCAGCTCCTCAGGCAAGAGTGGAATGTTCCATTTTCATATGTTTCCTATTGGAGTTTACAATTCATACTCATTCCCATTAAATTCACATTTAACTCATCCTTAAATTCATACTAATTCATATTAACTAAGTACAAACATCTGTTCATTTCATTTTGTCTTCTACTTCAGCATAATCATGTTTTGAAGTACATTTTTTTTCTAATTTTGTAAAGACGAGATCTCTCTATGTTGCCCAGGCTGGTGTCAAACTCCTGGGCTCAAATGATCCTTCTGTATTGGCCTTCCAAAGTGCTGGGATTATAGGCATGAGCCATTGCACCTCTACATATTATTTTATTATGAATAGATTTCCTTTTATGTCTCCTTTATATGACTGTGAGAGCACTATAATGTATTTTTTGGAAACCATGTGATTAACCCGCATACTGCACCAGGCGCTGTAGCAAGCACCTTCAACCATTATCTCATTTGATCCTCTCACCAACCCTAGGAGGTAGATACAATTATTAACATCCCTGTTTTGTAGAGGCAGAAACAGGCACAGAGAGGTGAAGTGACTTGTCTAAGGTGATACAGGAAGCAGTGCATCAGGTGTTTGAATCCAGGTCCTCTGGCTCTGGACTCTTCGCACTCAACCAGAGGGAGGGCTAGCCTCCCTCCCAGGTGAAGGAGATTACCTAGGGGCTCCATTTCAGGATATTAAGGGACTTTCCAAGATATTTATTATTTTAAAAGGTTGTGCTTTTCCTCCCTGACTGCCTGAGGACGGGTAGCCATCATGAATGATGCTAACTATTTGGATCAGGAAATTCATGACCAACCATCTGCTTCAGTGGAGACAAATGGTCATCGATGTCCTTCACCCTAGGAAGGAAATTCGGGAAAAACTAGCCAAAATGTACAAGACAACACCAGATGTCATCTTTGAGTTTGGATTCAGAACTCATTTTGGTGGTGGCAAGACAAACTGGCTTTGACATGATTTATGATTCCTTGGATTATGCAAAGAAAAATGAACCCAAACATAGACTTGTAAGACATGGCCTATATGAGAAGAAAAAGACCTCAAGGAAGCAGCAAAAGAAACACAAGAACAGAATGAAGAAAGTCAGGGGGACTGCAAAGGCCAGTGTTGGTGTTGGCAAGAAGTGAGCTGGAGATTGGATAACAGGCAAAGGACTAATGATGATGCAGTGACAATATGTATGGCCAGTGTTTGGATTTTTCACGACCAGCTTAATAAACAAAAAACTTTAAAAAAAGGTGGGGGTATGATGGGGTGAAAACCACTGAGCTGCATATAGTGTGTTGATCTCCCTTCCCTCATCCTCCTTCATTTCCTGAATCTGAGCCAGAATTGGGATGGGGCGGTCAGTTGTGTGATCATAACCCCGGGCCCAGAAGGGGCAGGTGGCCCTCTGGCCAGGATCCCAAGGACTGTTTATGGTCTTACCCTGCCTCTTCCTCCTCCTCCCCCCAGGGGCGGGAATCTCCTCTGTGGAAAAATACCCAGCTGGGTGAGCCCCAGTGAAAGGGAGGAGGTGAGGGGGCTGGGACTCACAGGACAGACTCTTTTCTCCTCTTGTGACTGGTATTTACGGAGCTGGGTTCTGGGAAAGGGCCAGATTGCATCAGACAGGGCCTCATGGGCCAGAGCCAGACTGTGGTCTGAGGAGGAGACACAGCCTTATAAGTTGGGGCCAGTGGACTGGGAGAGAAGAGGCACTTGTCAGGAAACCAGACACAGACAAAGCTTCAGAAGAAGAGGGACAGTGAGAGCAAGCCAGACATGATGGCCACCTTCCCGCAAGCAGCCAGTCCCTCCCGGCAACCCCCAGGCCCAGAGGATGAGGACCCCAACCTGGATGAGTACGACCTGTACAGCCTGACCCATTCCTACCTGGGTAAGGCCCACTGCCACCTTCACGGTCCTTCCTGCCTCTCCCTAATCAAGACCTCTTTTGGACTCCTCCCATCCCGTGCCCTTTTCTAGCCAACCCGTTCCCTTGACCCCTCAGGTCATCCCTTTCATGTTTTCTTTGTTTTTATAAAATAGAAATGGAGTCTCGTTATGTTGCCCAAGCTGGTTTGAAGTCCTGGGCTCAAGCCATCCTCCCACCTCAGCCTCCCAAAGTGCTGGGACTACAGGCATGAGCCACTGAGCCGGGTCAAGGTCATGCCCTCCAATCCCTCATCCCTTGAGCACTGTCTTAGCCTTAGAACCTCACACGCATCCAGGGTCCCTCATTCCACAGATGGGGAGACAGCTGGCTGGGGCTATGACTAACCCAAAGTTAGATAGTGACAACTCCCCATCCTCCCTGTTCTTTTCACCCCAGCAAGCCCTACCTCTCCTCTGAGGGCTTCACTGTGCCTCTGCCCACTTTGCCTCTGACGATTGCCTCGGTTACAGGAGGTGGAGGCCGAAAAGGTCGCACCAAGAGAGAAGCTGCTACCTACACCAACCGCCCCAGCCCTGGTGGGCACGAGAGGAAGCTGGTGACCAAGTTCCAGAATTCGGAGAGGAAAAAGCAAGGGGCACGGCGCTGAGACAGAGCTGGAGGTAAGCAGTCAGGGGGTTCCAGAGAGCCCGTGGTGATGCTTCTGTCTTGAAGAACAGGCCTGAATGTGTATGGTCGGTGGGGGGAGCAATCAAAGAATCATCGTCTCAACATAGGAGACATACACTCAACTAAGTTCCCTAGTGACTGGAGCAAAGGAGAAAGACAGAACCTTTCTAATTAGAGGGAAATTTGGCTTACAGAGAGAGAAATTGAGGCCAGACAGGGCCAGGTCCTTCCCTGGAGTCACAGAGCAAGTGAGTAGGAGAGGTATTAGAACCCAGGTCTCTGTTCCTTTTACCACCTGCTTTCCTCCCCCCAGATGAGACCAGACCACGGACACTACACCCAGCAATGGAGACAGGACTGCGGAGGAATGAGGACCTGAGACAGCATCCAGGCCTGCTTACCCACCCCTCCCCCCAGGACTTACCCCACAGCTCCCAGGGGCTGTGAAGAAAGTACTTCCAACCCCAGCAAAAGGAAAAGATGGGGAGCAAGAGTCAGGGAACAGAGAAACAGAGTCAGGAAAGTACCCTGAGAAAAGACACCGGAGCTCCCTGGTGGCAGCCGCCACAATAAACAAAGTGCAGCAGCTGCAGCTCATGTGTATGTGTGTTTTTCCTGGCTCTGTGTGTTTTTGTTTGGACATGTTTCTGCCTGCATGTGTTTGCATTTGCATGAGGCATTTTTGGTGTGTGTTTCTATTGGCGTATGGATCTGGGATGGGGAGAGTTCCTGTTTTTGTAGGGCCTGTGCTGTGACGGTGGCTTTTGGTTTGTTTGGTTTGGGGTTTTGTGTGCATATATTTTGGTGCATACATTTCTGTGGTCTCTTTTGGGGTACAAAGTAATTTCCTCTGTTTCTTTGCAATGCTGTACATGAAACAAGCCTCCCCCAAATCCTAGCCATTCTTATGGATTACATTCTGTTCTTATAAAACCATTTTCCTGAGTTGGGGTTTCACTCTGTCACCCAGCCTGGCGTACAGTGGCTTGACTGCACTGCAGCCTCAAACTCCTGGGCTCAGACAATCCTTCATCCTCAGCCTCTCAAGAAGGTGGAACTACAGGGCTGCACCAACACACCCAGCTAATTTTTTGTGTTTTTTTGTAGAGACTAAGCCTCCTTGTGTGTTTCCCAGGCTAGTCTCAAACTCCCGGGCTCAAGCAATCCTCCTGCCTCAGCGTCCCAAAGTTCTGGGATTATAGGTATGAGCCACCATACTTGGTCTAAAAATCACCTTTTAAGGAATTTGACCTAAGTTACTCAGGGCTCAGATTCAAGGCTTGTTTTTGTCCTCGAGTATGGGGTGGATCCCCTGCCAAGAGGGCTGCCAAGATGGAACTCTGGGAGGTCAGCTGGGGAAGGAAGATGCTTACCCAGTGTTATCAGTCTCGGGACCAGAGTTTGAGAAGAATGTGAAGCAAACAAAGTGTGGCTAGAGCTAAGATGTATTGATTGAGAGGTAGGTTTGGATTGCTGTGATGAAGAATCAAACAAAACAGGGTAAAAATCTATTTCTCTCTTGCTTACCAGCTCCAAGAGCAAGTACTTCTGGGCTCAAATGGCAACCCCGTTGTGTCAGGGATTCTAGCTACTTTTAGCTAATTGTTCTGCCACCCTTAAAACAGGGCTTCTGCTTTGAGGCCCAGGACCCACTATCACACCTGTATCTCAGGAAGGGAGGAAAAGACCAGGAGAGGCCACAACTATTCATTTTTAGGACATAGCCGAAAAGTAGAACACATCACATCTGTACAGATTTTAGTCACATGTTCAGAATTTAGTCACATGGCTACACCCAAGAGAAGTTGGGAAATGTAGTGTTTAGCTGCTTAGCCACATGGTTGCCAAGACTTGGGTGAGGACAGGGTTTTATATTATTAAAGGAAGCAGGAGAGAGTGAGTACTGGAAGAAGTTAGCAAGAAGCACTGCCTGTGTACAGACTCAACAGAAGTGGAGCGGGGAGAAAAACCCCAGGTTGGGCCCTGGGCAGAGCCTTTTTCCTTCCTGTCCCTTTCATATAAGCCCCTCGGTTGCAGAACTTGGAGTTGATGGCTCTTAATGACCCAAGAATATCAACAGAGGACCAAGGCACCTGTTAGGACAGTAGCAGATGCACAGATGACCAGCTTGAGCCCTTGGGGACCTCTATCCATCTTCCTCCTCTGAGTCCAGCCTAATCACAATCATAGAATCCACGTCTAGGAAGGACATTAAAAGACCTCTGACCCATCCCACCCTACTTAATACTGGGATCACCTCGCTTGCTTGAATACCACTAGGGATGGGGAACTTGCTACATTTATTTTATTTTATTTATTTTAAAGACGTGGGATACAATTCAGGGTTAGGTATACAAATGTTCACTATGCATGTACCCTTGTTGATGAGGTGCGTCCCCTCCCACTTGCTACCTTTAAAGTTTGCCTAATTTCATCTCGGGCGACTCCTTTATGTGGTCTCAAACCTGACTGTCTCTTCCACCTGCCCCTGAGCAAGTTTCTGTTTTTCTGGTCCTTTCCGTCTAAGATAACTTTAATCCTTCCCGCACCCCTCCCCCACCATCTCTTGAGGCTCAGTTCAAATGTCTCCTTCTCTTCAAAGTCTCCCCTGACTTGTGCTGCCCTAGCAGTCATCTCCTGACCTCCCCCTGGGGCCAATCTCTTCTCTGGGATTTTGAGGTGAGCTTGGGCCCAGGATCTCACAATCATTTTGGCACACAGCTCCTTTAGATTTCCCCTCCAGCCCCCTTTTTCATACAAATTATTTACTAATTCAGTGGATGTTCATTGGGTGCTGGCTGAAGGCCGAGGCTGCAAGAAGGGACACATGGGGTCCCTAGTATGATTAGAGTCGGGCCTTATGACTGCTGTCAGCTCTAGAACTCAGGAGCAAATGGCAGAAGTAACACTGTGCAGTGGGCTCTCAGCCCTGGACAGACACGGTGTGTCAGCTTCAGACAATTATAGCGATGGCTCCCATGTTTTGGGCTTCTACTCTGTGACAGGTGTTTTATAAGCTGTGCTCCATTTAATCCTTACAATAATCCAACAGGACATATTATTATTGAGCCCATTTTTCAGATCAGAAAACCGAGATTCAGAGAGCCTAAATTATTTGCCCAAAGTCACAAAGCTGCAAACTGTAGGAGCTGGGATGATGAACTCAGGTCTGACTGATTTTGAAAGCCTGGACGTTTTCCTTTTTTTTTTTTTTGGAATAAGAGTCTTACTCCGTTGCCCAGGTTGGAGTGTAATGACATGCTCACAGCCACCCCAGCATCAACCTGCTGGGCTCCGGTGATCCTTCCGCCTCGGCCTTCCAAGTAGCCAGAACTACAGGCGCACACTACCACACCCGGCTAATTTTTTGATTTATTGTAGAGATGAGGTCACGCCAAGTTGCCTGGGCTGTTCTTGAACCCGTGGGCTCAGGTAATCCTCTCACCTCAGCCTCCCAAAGTGCTGGGATTACAGGCTTGAGCCACCGCGCCTGGCCTTTTTACTACCTGCCTGAAAATAATCATATACTGACAAGGAGGAATCCTAAACTCTAGTCAATTACTGCCCCAGCCTTGGGTTCCTCACCTGTCAAATGGTGAAACTAGCCTCTCTTCTGTCAAAAGAAAAAGCAAAAGCTGGGAAATGTTGTGTCCCCAGCTGGAGTGGCCACTCCTGGTATACTGGGTCTTTTGACACTTGTCAGGAGGCTGCACACACCACCCCTCACTCCTGGCCTCTGATTGGCCTTCTGTGGCCTCGCCCTTCCCTGGCACAGCCTCTGCGTGGGAGGCCTGTAAGTGGTTATTCCGGGAATTATTAAGGCAACCCTTCGCATCATAGAACTTTTGGATTTGAAAGAATCCTGTTCAGAATCTTCCTCTTCTGTCTCCACTCCTTTCCTTCCTTCCTTCCTTCCTTCCTTCCTTCCTTCCTTCCTTCCTTCCTTCCTTCCTTATTTTCTTTCTTTCTCTTCCTTCCTTCCTTCCTTCCTTCCTTCCTTTCTTTCTTTCTTTCTTTCTTTCTTTTTGAAAGCAGGATTTATTGAGAGGACAGAAAAGCTCCCACAGTGGGAGGGGGACCCAAAGGGGTTGCCTCAGTCCATTCTTCTCTGACACCTTTTATTATTTTCCTTCTTCTGATTGTATGTGATGTCTGTTTCCCCAATTTGGGGGAATCCCTTTGAGAACTAGAGAAATTACTGCACTCCATTTCCCCTCAGGATTTATAGAAACCTCCTTGTCATGTTTCCGCAACTCAGAGAATGCCCGGCTCCTTGCAGAGAATGGAGAAACTTACAGTGGGGTTGTCTACCTGTTCTGCAAACATCTTTTTTTTTTGAGTTAGAGTCTCACTCTGTCGCCCAGACTGGAGTGCAGTGGCTGCTCCCGGCCACCGTAGCCTCAACCTGCTGGGCTCCGGCGATCCTTCTGCCTCAGCCTTCCAAGTAGCTGGAACTACAGGCGCACACTACCACACCCGGCTAATTTTTTGATTTATTGTAGAGATGAGGTCTCACCCAGTTGCCCAGGCGGGTCTCGAACCCGTGGGCTCAGGCAATTCACTCACCTCAGCCTCCCAAGGCGTGGGATTATAGGCTGAGCCACCGAGCCCAGCTTCTGCAAACATCTTGATTGTCCAGCAGCTTCCCTTCTCTCTCAGATACAGTAATCTATTTCTAAATGTCAGAATCACCCAAAGCTGTTTTTAAACTAGAGTTCCCTACAGTTAATGCTCGTAATAGGAATAGTCATAGCTACTGTTATTAATCTGCCTCAGGGTTTTCCCAGCTTCATCTTTCACACGGCACTTTTGTGATTGGTTTCCACTGGATGTGCATTCAAGCTATACTATCCTTATTACACCATATTTACTTAGCATAGAAACATTACCTCCTTACCTTTTTTACTCATAGTTAAAAAGAAAGCTACTGCATATAACCACCCAAAATGGAAAACCACAGTCATGTGTCATAATTAGAAATTAACTGTAAAATGAAACATCTAACTATAACTTTTTTTAAAAGTTCATCTATGCATTACCTACGATGACCCTGTGTACTAAGAGTCACAAGCATGCACATTTGGAGAAACACCCAGTGTGATGTTGTTATATGATAAGTATTTGTGCTTGTATTTTGTATGTTGTTATATGATAAGTATTTGTGTTTGTAAAATGTATTTAGTGTTTGTCCACATACCTGGTATCAGAAGTGAAGTGTTGAATGCCCACTGAGGCTACCAACAAAGAAAACAAACTCTGTTTTTCTCTATGCCACCACACAACACTTCTGACTCCAAATGTGTGAATTTTCCACACCAAGTATTTCTCCAATTCTCTGCGAACTCCAACAATTTGGAGTCCTACAATTTAATTTAATTTAATTTTTTGTTTTTGTTTTTTTGTTTTTTTTAGTTGGAGTCTCACTCTGTCACCCAGGCTGGAGTGCAGTGGTACACTCATGGCCACGATAGCCTCAACCTGCTGGGCTCAGGCGATCCTTCTGCCTCAGCCTTCCAAGTAGCTGGAACTACAGGCATGTACCACCATGCCTGGCTAATTTTTTTTTAATTGTAGAAACGAGGTCTCACCAAG